TTTAAGGTACAAGGTGTCCTCTTGAATTCAACAGCAGGTGTTGTTCGACAAGACTGTCCGATGCAGTGCGTCAGGTCCTTCTCTCCTCCATCTTACCCCGCCTCCCTTCTCCCTTTTTTCTTTTCTTTCTTTCTTTTTTTTTTTTTTTTTTTTACAAAGAGCCTTTGTGTTTTTATATATTTCATAGAAATGTTTATAGCAGTTGCAGGTAAACTGTCAGAATTGGTTTTTAAAATATTTTTGTAACTTTAAAATATTCTATAATTATGCATGTGATTTTAACATTTAATATTCAAAAAGAAATCTCTTGCTGGATTTGAGAGTATTGCATTTTAAAAGTCTCTCTTCTGTAACTGGATTTTTGGCAACTTTGTGGGGAGAGACTGCTGGATTTCTTAAAGCAATGTATTACTGACACTGGCCACAGAATGCCTTTGGAACTCTGATATGCCGTTACCTTGTTCACATGCGGTGATATTGTACTTTTTCACGGTTTAATCAAGCGATGTTGAGAATCGAGAGAGAAATGAATGTAGAGAAAGGTCGAGAGAGAAATACAAATTCTAACAAAGGACTAAGGAGTATAGTCTGCTGGTTCAGGCTCCTGGAAGGACTTTGGAAAAGGAGATGAAAGGAAGCACCTATTCTGAAAATACTGTAAATAATGCAGTGAGATTTGGCAAAATCTATCCACTTGTTATTTGCTTTTGGAAACAGTTTTGAAACCCCACAAGAAAAAATAAAGACTGTTTTTTCCCCTTTTCCACCTACATCAAAACTAAAGGCATCAACTTATTGGAGGTAAAAATCAATTAATAGATAATGTAACTTTCATTGATTTAAATCAGATGCTGTTTGGAATCGAGTTTGCAAATACACCAAAAAGCGCATCTGTATTATAAGAATGTATGGTGAAGTTAAATATATGTTTCATAAGATCTGTCTGGGTGTGTACCAAGTGTGAGGGTCTTGTATCAATGTAACACAGGTTGTGTCAAAAGCCACCTGTTATTGTACTGTGTGAAGAAACGTAGTCATCTGATTTGGTTGGCTTTGTACTTTGTATCTTCTCTAGCTTTTGCTGTCCATCTAGAACCCTCAGCACAAGCTGTGTTGTACTTCCTTTTGTAAATGATTTTTTAAATGGAATTTTGCACATAATACCTTGTAATACTGTACGATAATCATGTGTGAAAATAATTTTTGAAATATTCTGGTTGTCTTTTTTTCTTTCAGAAGCAAAATACAATTATGCACCACACTATGTCATGTATACATAAAATCCATGGGTTAGAAAATCCCTAGAGAGTCAACAGGAAAATGTACATTTTTAGCAACATATGTGCTGATAAGGAAAAGATAGTGTTCCAACCTGCAGGGATTTCCATTGTTATGTAAGATACTACTTGGTTTAGGATTAGTTGGACTTAAGAAAAATCACAGTTAATCAGAAAGGGAGTTAGCTGGGCCCTGGAAACTACTAGGCTTGTTATTGTACAACCTCTGCAGTCTCTTGCTGAGAGTTTGGTGATGCTTCAAAATTGACAGGGCAGAAATTCTTGCTACCATATTCCCTGTGTCTGGAACTGTACCTTGCAGATAGTAGGTGCTTCATAAAATCCTGTCGACCTCATAAGTTCTTCTGCTCTTTAAGTATCCATCAGGAGCATAGATACTTAAAGAGCAGAATGGTGCTGAATGCACTACCTATTTCTTATAATGAGTTAAAAGTGATAGTTAATCCATGTAGCTATCCTCTCACCTTCCAAATTAAGATCATCATGTCCTTCCAAATCAGTATGCTGCTGACTTTAGGCAGGTCACAATATCTGGAGGGGAAGCTGCCTTTAGCAAGATGAGAGAAAGGTCAAATTAGGAAAAATTAGTGTGAGCAGCAGAAAACATCACGAGACAGCTCCTGGTTTGGTCATTGGGCAATATTTCCCTGCTGAAATGACAACACAACATGTGTCTTCACTTTTTTCCTCCACACAGACATTTCTCACTTCTCAAATTGTCAGGAAACAGATTTTGGTGAAATTTGGAAGGCTTAAGTTGAGAGTGAAAATATACATAGTCTAAAATATATTTAGACTATATTTTAAAGTCTAAAAATATGTTATAAAAGTTGAAAACCTGCCAGAGGAAAGGATTCTTTTTTCCCATTTTGTATGCATGGCCAAATATTCCCCCCTTGGGGACACAGAATAGAAATAGAAACTGTTAAAATGACTTAGTGTCATGTGGAAGTTATAACTTTACATGCATAAGTAAACACAAAAGACAGGAAACCCAGGCATGAATGCTTTCATTCAGAAATGTGGCTCTACGTCCCTTGAGCTGCTCTTACCTGCATCATCTTTCATTTTTGGAGAGTTTATTTTATTTATTTATTTATTTTTATTTATTTATACAAGCATTGGTTACATTCAGAAGCACGGGAGGGTGAGAGAATTCACCAGAGCCAGAGCGGGGAGCAGAGCAGGCAGAAGGACCGAAGTACACTGCTGAGGGGATCAGCAGGCGGCAGGAGAGGTCTGCGTGCCATGTGGGACCCTCGACAGCGGCCGGGGATAGAACTGGTGCTGCAGAGGCTGCAGGCAGCTTCGCAGCCCAGCGCTCAACCGCTGCACCACCGGGGAGGCCCCATTTTTGGAGAGTTTAAATGAGCAAGCTCCTTGGTTATTAACAGCATTGCTGGATTGCTCCCCAAATGTCTGAGAAGAATGGGACTGCTCATGGAATGCAGGTATTTTAACAACATGGCAGTAACTGATAGTAAAATGCTAAAGCCCATCATTTTCCAGACCATTTTCTTTAAAAAAAAAAAAAAAAAAAAAAAAAAAAAGACCTTGTGTTGAGGACTGGCTTGCAACAGATGAAAGCAATGGAGCTGCTCTGCTGTGTATGAAACCCTTACCCAGAGCTGCTCTGCTGTGTATGAAACCCTTGCCTTAGAGCATTTTCTTGATGAATTTTAGGCCAAAGTTGTTTGTCATTTAGTTAACCAAAATCAGGTTGGAAATAAGGAAATATTCATATAGCATTGCAGAATTGTGAACAGGATTGTGAAAGAAGGAAGAGATGGAAATAGGGGGGAAGGGAGAGAGGGATAGTGGAAGAGGTGGGGGGAAATATCTAGTGTTTGTTGCAGAGAACAGGCTATTATTTGAAGATCTGTTTTTCTCCAACATGGGTGGGAGCGGGCATTAAATTTTCCAACATGAACTCTCACTTTGCCAGGAAAAGTAGGCACGGGAAGTTTCCAAAAAAATTATTCAGAAAGATCTGGAATACACAGAAGTTCTGCCTGGTGCAGCAGGAAAATCTCCCCAGGGACGCCTGGATTGAAGTGAGGCAGTTGGGGACACAGTAGGCAGCTTCACTCAATTCTAATTTACCCTTACATTCCCAAGTGGAACTTTCCAGAATTCTGAGGTCCTCTAATTCAGTCTGTCCCTATAGTAATGAACCAGAGTATTTATTTCTTTTGACTAAATACAGTGGGACCACTGCATCCAGCCCACCTTGTGCAGCCAACTTGGAGGGGGAGGAGCTCAGAACCCCAGGACCAAGGGTGACCAAGGTTGGACTCAGCTCCACGTTGAGACTGCCCTCCCTGACCCATCTGCATGAATCTCTCAGCCCCTATAGTGGTGGAGGTTATGAGGGGGGCCCTGCACCTCTGAAACCCTTGGTCACCTGGGGGAATTATCACCTCACACAACTAAAGACGTTTTCGCTTTTATTTAGCTCCATTTATTCCTTTCCTCTGATTTTTTCCCCCATGACTCTGGAGGGTGGGTTTGCTTTCATACAGTAGATTTCATAAGAGCAGACAAGACTCCTTGCCAATAAGCAGGCTGTGACTTGTCTCATCTCTTTCACAATGTCTTCTCCAATTCCAACCAGAGATAATCAAAGCATGAGCCGGGCCCCGCAGCAAACAGTGCCATCTGTCTGTCTGAGGCCAGAACTCAATGCTGCTGCCACTGTTTGAACTAGGTTCTCAGCTTCTTCAAATCATCTGCAGGCTTTCTTTCTTTCTTTTTTTTTTTTTTTTTTTTTTTTGCGTATAAGAACTGGAGTGTAGGACAGAGGTGTGGGGGTAGAGACAGAGTGGGGAGCAACTGCAGGCTTTTAAAACTCCTGATGCCCAGGCTACACAATCAGAACCTCAGCAGATGGGCCCAGGCAGCCAGGCTACATAAACTTCCAAGATAATTCTACTGTGACATCAGAGCTGAGAATCATTGGTTTAAATCAAGAAGCAGGTCATGCGATAGAAATATACCTGGGGGAGGTAGGACCTTGTCTATGGCCACCAACACCTATCCAACCATAGGTTCTCGAACAGATTCGGACTATGTACTCCTGGTGTTGTGCTGTTTCAAAGAAATGTGAAATCAGGCAGAGGTAATTTAACAATTTTTCTAGTTAACCGCAATGAAAAAGGAAGGAAAAAAGTTGATGAGATCAGTAAAAATGTATTACTAAATTACTAGTAATTTATTTTATTAGTAATATGTTATACTTAACCCTTGATATATCAAATACTGTATTTCAACCATTAATCAATCTCAAGTATTAAAAAGGGGGTTTGCATTCTTTTTTTTAAATTGTTTTCAAAATCTTGTGTGTATTCTGCACGTATAGCATGCCTCATTTTATATTAGCCAATTTCAAATGCTCGAGAACCATATATGGCTAGTGGTTACCATATTGAATAATACCATATTAACTAGGAGTGATTTTAAAAACCAAAAATTGTAATATATGTATATATAATATAATCATATCCAGAGAAACGCATACTGTCAACTAATTTCTTTTTTTAATTTAAATAAATAAAAATTTATTTATTTGTGCATACAATAACTGAAGTACAGGCCAGAGGGACGAGGGGTGGGGGGAAGTGAGAGGATTCACCAGAGACAGAGTGGGGAGCAGAACAGGCAGATTGACTAAAATACACTGTTGAGGGGAGTAGCGGGTGAGACAGGAGAGGTCTGCGCCATGTGGGCTAGCTCCCTGGCCAGGGATCAAGCTCATGCTGCAGTAGTTATGGATAGCTTCATAGTGCTGATGCTTAAGCCCGTGCGCCACCAGAGAGGGCCCCAAAACAAGTACTTCTTACTGACTGAAGACGTCAATAGCACGTTGGCTCATCAGAAGACCACAGGGCCTGCAGGAATTAATCGGTGCAAAATGCTGAGAACAGCACACCATGAGCACCTTCAGTATTGGCTATTATTATCACTAGATATCTTCAAAATTTTCCCACTACTGTTTACTTCCATTTACCCATTCATAATCTGTTGACAAGATTTTTGTAGTAAATATATATGGTTTATATAGTTACATATATATGCATATTATATATATATATACACACACACACACACACACACATAGTTATTACCTGTTGGCAAGTTTCTTGTAAAATAGAAGAAAGATAGTGACAGGTTTTATTTTTGTTAGATTAGAGAGAGAGAGAGAGAATGTTCAGTGTGGGAGGATCAAAATTTAAGTGAAAGTCTTCAATGAATTTTGCTGTTGGTGGTAGTGTTGGTTGTGGAGGTGATATTGAGGTGCATGTTGAATTGGGGATATTTTTCCAGAATAGCCTACTGGCCAAGAGCCTGATCAGGGCCCATAACTAGTGGCAATGATTGCCAAAAAGGGGGAAAGGCATGAAGGGAGGTTGCAAAGTCAAGCTTTGCCCTCCTCCCAGTCAAGGCCAGAGTGAAATCCTGAGAGGAACACTCCGCCCCCGCAGGAGTCTGAAGTAGTACTTCCAAGAAAGGAGATATTACTTAAGTAAAAGTGTAACAATAGTCAGTGATTGTCTTGACAACCTTTATGTAACAACTGTTACTGACTTAACTTTATCATATTCACTTATTTAAGTATATTTTTATATCCACATATGTATTACTTAATAGGAATACGCTTAAAGCATCGTGCTTCATCAAAAAGAATAAGGCATTTGATGCTTTTTGCTTTAACTGTGATGTACATGCTTCTTATTTTTTTTAAAGATTTCTTTTAAGATTTATTTATTTATGCATACAAGAACCGGGGTACAGGCCAGAGGTTGTGGGGGCTGGGCGTGTGTATGAGAGGATTCACCAGAGACAGAGCAGGGGACAGAACAGGCAGACTGACTGAAATACACCACTGAGGGGAGCAGTGGGCGAGACAGGAGAGGTCTGCTGCGCCATGTGGATAGCTCCCTGGCCAGCTGGGGATCAAACTTGTGCTGCAGTGGCTGCGGACAGCTTCATAGCACTATGCTTAACTCCTTGCGCCACCAGAGAGGCCCTGCTTCTTATTTCTTGTTTATCCTATAAATTATGAGAGAATGAACTCATTTATTGGATTATAGCTTTGGTCAATTTTATCTTTTTCTCACTCCTTTAGCTTTGTCATGAACACAAAAGAAAGAAAATCTGCACAGAGCAATTAACTTCCAAAGATTCTTTGACCATTTAAAGCAAATATATACTTGAACAAGCTTGGACATTGGAAAGCTTCTGTCTTTTACATGTATAAGGAAATAGTACTTGGCAAATTGCAAAATTTCATTGCACAGCTTATGTAAGATTTTGCAGCTGAAAATATCATCCATGGATCAAGTGTTGCATCTCCTGGGAGCTTGTTAGTATCTCAGGTCCCTCCCAGACCTGTTGAATCAGAATCTACATTTTAATAAAATGCTTAGATGATCCATGCTCACACTATAGTTTGATTGAGAAGTTTTAGTCTAAGGTATATTTGGATCAAAAGCATTTGTGCAACATAGACAGTTAAGCAAATGTAGGTGCATTGCTATTACAACTCTGAAGGAAAGGACAAAAAATATCTTGTGTTGCTTACTTTAAAAAAGGCATAACTGCATTTGAAATCACCTACAATACTTACAAAGGGTTTATAATGCAGATGTCTGGAAACAAGTATTTAGCTGATGACTCTTGATTATATTCTCTTTGCTTTTGTTAGGAAAGAGGCCTGAAGTATATGGAGAAAAGACTGAAAATTAAGTGAAAAATGGTGAAGATAAACTTTAATGACTGCCATTTTCACCTGGAGTTGTTTTCCTTCACTTCTGCTCAGGTGAGGGCAAACAGAAGCCGAGTCAGAAGGTTCTGTCTGGTTAGCTGTTTGAGCATGTGTACGCATGTGCACGCAGGCGCGAGTGCAGGAACACGATCTTGTCATCAGACAAATAATTAGTCATACTGTCTCTACACCATATAGGAACTTTATGAGATTTTTTTTTATTTTTTGAACAGACAGCCTATTTTCTATTAAAGGCACTTCATTCCCAGAGGATAGATTAATAGGGCCATGTTACGCATAGATTTGGAAAATATGAAACATTTAATAAAATGTATTTGGTGGCCAGGGGTGACTTATTTAAAGCATCTTTGGTGCATTCCTTGGGACTTACCAGCGAGCTATTGCAAAGGGAACGAGTGGTGGGTCTTGTAGCAAATTTCCATTTCTCCAGGCAATGACTACGGACAGTCCTGAGACTTCCTCAGCTTTTCTCCATGACATTGGTTCATTCTCTCTTTTTCTGTGGGGAAAGGTAGGATTTGTTTTTCTTTAAAAATAAACACAGTACATATAACTTCCAAAGTCAAATATTTGCAAGTGTATAAAGAAGCAGTTCCTGCCCCCTGCCCCCACCACCCCATTCCTAATTCATTCCCACCTAAACAACCTATCCAACCGTGTTTTCCAGTATTTATCTCCATATTTCTTAAAACATTTGTATACTGTACTGATTTCTTTTCCAATATTGGACACTATTGCTGATTCCATATTATGAAAGATGAGCATTTAACCTTTTCATAGAATCTCCTCCCTTCACCACATATACATACACATGAACTTTTTTCTTTCCCTCCTCACCAAATAATTATCATTAGATACATTAATTTTTATTACTATGACAATATAACTATTGTTCAGAACTAAATATGTCCTTTTTGTTCAGCTTTTTGTTTTTCTTAAAGTTAATAATTGCTTCCTTTTTTCTGGTTTATCTTCTTTTAATGTACATATCACTAATGTATCCTCAGTCTCTATTCAACAGCTGAGAAACTCTTTTTAATATAACTTAATAATTAAGAATAATATATCATTCCTTATTTTTTTTCATCAGGATATCCTTCCTTGAGCTCTTTTCCTGTTTCAAATGGTCCACTTGGTCTCTCAGGATACAGGTGTCATCCTGAGAATTCTCCTTACTCTTCTCCAGAGTCACAGATTCTACCTCCTAGTTCCTGTCTCCTTTTCTTTCTTTTTTTCCTCCTTAGTTTTACTGGAGCCCTTAGGAAAAGAGACAGGCTGCCTCAGGATGTGCTTAAATGGCATGCCAATAATTTTATTGTTTTTAAAGATTTATTTATTTATGCATACAAGAACTGGGATATAGGCCAGAGGTGTGGGGGGTGAGAGGATTCACCAGAGACAAAGTGGGGAACAGAACAGGTGGACTGACTGAAATACACTGCTGAGGGGAGCAGCAGGCAAGTCAGGACAGGTCTGCTGCACTATGTGGGTATCTCCCTGTCCAGGGATCGAACTCATGCTGCAGTGGCTGTGGATAACTTCATAGATTGCGTCTTAACCCCTTTGGCCACCAAGGAGGCCCCAATAATTTTAAATTTAAAGAAACTGAGATCTAAGATCTAAAAATGATGTTTTGCTTAATTACCTTCTTCCTTAAAAAATGGAAAATAAGGGCCTCCCTAGTGATGCAAGGGATTAAGACATAACCCATGAAGCAATCCGCAGCCACTGCAGCATGAGTTCAATCCCCAGTCAGGGAGATACCCACATGGTGCAGCAGACCTCTCCTGTCTTGCCCACTGCTCCCCTCAGCAGTGTATTTCAGTCAATCTGCCTATTCTGTTCCCCACTCTGTCTCTGGTGGATCCTACCACCCCCATGCCTCTGGCCTGTACCCCAGTTCTTGTATACATAAATAAATAAATCTAAAAAAAAAAGGAAAATAAACCTTCTCTGACCAAGGCTTGTAAGGTCTGTTACCTGATGCATATGTAGATGAACCCCACAAAATTCCTTTATCTTTCTATTGTAAAGTTCTTTGTTTGGTTCTTCCCTTCTAAGTTTTATTTCCTCTTTCCAAACACAAAACAAAACTATATAACCTCACTGGAGTGACCAAAGGTGGGTTCAGATCTTTTGGGTTGCTATGCACACCTAATTGAAGTTTACTTTTTCTCTTGCTAACCTCTTTGAGTTAGTTCATCCAACCAAAATGAATCAGAGAGCAAATGTCCCCTGGGAGCATATCATCTAGAAGAATTAGAAGTGCATTACTGTGGCACTGCATATTCCAATTTTTCTGTTTTCAGCTTAGTTTGGCTAGGCAGGGAATTCTGTGTTAGAAATTTTCTTTTAGAATTTTTTTAAAGATTTATTTATACAAGAACTGGGGTACAGTCAACGGCGTAGGAGGGTGAGAGGATTCACCAGAGACAGAGCAGGGAGCAGAACAGCCAGACGGACCGAAGACTCTGCTGAGGGGAGCACCAGGCAAGGCAGGAGAGGTCTGCTGCACCATGTGGGTTGCTCCCTGGCCAACTGGGGATGGAATCCGTACTGCAGAGGCTGCGGACAGCTTCACAGGGCGGCGTTCAACCCACTGTGCCACCAGGGAGGCCCCTCCTTTAGAATTTTGAAAGTTAGAAACCATCTCCCTCTCTCTCTTCTCTTTTGAGATTCAGAGATGCTGTTGCAAAGTTTGATACCATTTGATTCTTATCCTCAATTTGTATCTCAATTTATAACTTGAATGTAACTTGCAGCATTGTAATGGCCACCAAGGAATCATATCTCACTTCTCACCTTGTCTTTACCATTGGGTAATCTATTTCCACCTAGAGTATGGACCCAGTCAGATGACTTAATTTGGTCAAAAGAACAACAGCAAACATGATGCAAATGGAGGTTTGAAAAGTGCTTATGCAGTGGGTTGATCCTCTCTTGCTGTTGGAAACCTACCAATGAATAAACTGTTGTTTCTTAGAAGATAAGAGATGTCCCAGCCATCCCAAGAAGTCCCAGACATGGAATTGAGGCTGTTTTAAACCATCCAATCAACTTGCATCCAGTTTAGACCAGAACTACCCAAACAATCTACAATTTTTTCTATGTTGTTATTCATCTCCGTTCCACTTTTCTATTTGATTTTTTTGAACTCTGTCTTCTGGGTTGGAGCTTCTACTAAATGTTCCATGATGTTTAACTATTTATAAGTAAATGGCAATCACCACAAAGTTTATTGGAAGCTGTGTAGATTGGGCAAAGTTTGTGAACTGTTAGCTTTGCTAAACTTAGGGTGGCCATATGGTAATATGGTCATTTTATAGAAGGACCACAAAATGTAACTATCTATAGGGCTTTTCTCTTACATTAGGTCATTTCCCAACAAAAATTTTCTTCATTATCCTACTGGAGGTTGTAGGATGGGGCTTATTTAGCTGCCAGCATTCTGTGAGTTAACAGGCGAGGAGTCTGCAAGGAGTCTTTTAATATGTCACCTTTTGCTTCATTCCCATTTTCAATATTGTCTCAGCCTCACCCTTGGATGCCTCTGTTCTGAGAACTGAGGGACACAGATACTTTCACCTTCTCACCTTCTCCTTTCAGTTAAATGTGTTTTGTTTAATCCCTGAGTCACAGCAGAATCTGCACCAGGAATCAATTGCCCTGCTTCCTGACTTTCCTCAAAGTTGCTAAAATCTCAGCTTACTTCTGTCTGATAAGTGAGCTTCCTAGCAGCCATAATTTTGTTGCCAGTCCTCATTGGGTATAGTCTCCTCCTTCATTATCATTGATCTCGGGAATTGAGGCCTTAAATTTTTTTTTCCATTTATTCTTGTTTTAGTGTGATATTGGTAATAAGCAGATATATGCAGTTGCCCTTGTTTCATTGAAACCTGTAGTCAGCTCTTAATAAGAATGGTGAGTGCATTTGTACAATCCAGCTAGCAAAACTGAAAACAGATGATGGTCAGAGTCAATGAATGCTTCTGTCCTGTCCTGTTATTATTTTATATAAAATAATTTTTTTATTCAATGACAATCACCCATCCAAGCCGTTGAGCACATTGCCTAGAATTTGTCAAAATATCTATTTAATTGCTCTTTGTCCTTTCCACATGCTCTGAAGGAGCAGAAGTGGAGCAACAACACATGAAACACCAAGCTGTTTGCTTGCTTAAATGTGGAATTTTGCCATGGTGGATGTGAACCTAGGTCAGCACTATTTATGGAGAGCACATGGTGTTTTGTCTCAATGAGCAGGAAAATGTTTTGTGATAAAATGTGGTAAAAGCTTGTAGTTTTTTCCAACTAAGCTGTAAAAGGAATTACACAATGTAAAATAATAAATACAAAGTTCTATGAGTCATCTCTGATGCAGGGAAAATTTGCAGCCTGGACAGAAATAGTGTTTTGCTGGAGGTTAAAAATAAAATCAAATGCACTGAAACAGTAATCAATAAGAGCAAGTTCTGGAAGCCCAAATAATTCTGGTATTCTGGGGGTTTTAACATAGTTTGTGCTTTTAAAGCAAAGTAATTAAAATGGTGGGGACAATGATGTAAAAACTGTGATGATTCTATTTTTTAAGTCAGGTTTAGTGGGATATACATACAGTCAAATTCATTCTTTTTGTTATAAGGTGGTGTTCCGGGAAAGGGGAGGTTCCAGGTTCCCTGCCCCACCCAAGAAAGGTGGCCAGATACTTTGCTTATAGAGTTCTAGAGACTTCCAAAGAAGGTGGGAAAGCTTGGCTCTGTTTGGCAGGACTGGACAATCCCAGAGAAACTCCTGGAAATCTCAAGAAGAGGAAACCCTAGGTGGAGTCTGGTAAGACTGTGGCTTTCTTACTGAAGCCTGCATGGACCCGTTGCTGAGAGCTCACTCTAGTCCCATATGGAGTATTGCAACAAAGCCAATTAAATTGATGTTTGGTTATTCTCCCCTGTGACTTTCCGCAACAATATGTAAAATGGATTGGAAGTAGATCCAGTTTGCAAAAGTATTTTGCTACTATTGGATAGCATTGGGATCAAGGTGGAGAGAAATTGAAACTGAAACAAGTTCAACCAGTTTTAAGGGTTTTTTTTTTAAGATTTATTTTATTTATTTATGCATACAAGAACTGGGGTACAGGCCAGAGGTGTGTGTGGGGGGAGGTGTGTGTGAGAGGATTCACCAGAGATAGGGTGGGGAGCAGAACAGGCAGATTGACTGAAATACACTGCTGAGGGAGCGTTGGGCAGGTCAGGAGAGATCTGCTGTGCCATGTGGGTCAGCTCCCTGGCCAGGGATTGAAGTGGTGCTGTAGTGGCTGTAGACAGTTTCATAGTACTGAGACTTAACCCCTTGCACCACCAGGGAGGCCCCCAGTTTTAAGGTTTTTCTTGCTGGTATTTTCTGGTATAATGTTTGCTATTTTGTTTTGACTAAAGTCTCCAGATTATTTTTCATGTCAGCTTGTAGTGATCTATTTTCCAGATATAAAGGATTTTGCCA